CAATCTCTTGAAATTGGGTTGCAAAGAAAAATTCTTTTTTGATTATAGTAATCCATGCAGGAAACTAATTCACATGATAACGAGATAAATCAGTTATAATTTTCATGTGAAAGGAAATTAAACCTGCACCAGTTCTTGAAGAGATCATAAATGTAGACTGCATCGTTCTCGTTGGACAACATGAAGTACCATGGCTTTTGGGGTGGCATATTGATCCATACATACTTTCCGGACTTTGTCATCTCATTGCAATACTTGCACGCACATCCTGCGCTCATTATACTATCTATTGGCAGAAATGAGAAAATCTTTAGTCATACATTGTCAGGGAGAATGGTATATGTGTCTTCAATTTTTAGCTTGTTTTCTTTCTCAAAAACTTCGAAACCAGGTTCTTCAATTCTGACAGTCCATGCTCTGCTATTATAATCCTAGTAAGTGTGACACAAGTGAAATAGACATGATTAGCAATTTTACGAGTTTGAACTGGCCAATGAGCTGGCTTGTTTAGGATGAAAGAGAAAAAAAATTAATAATCTAAGCATTTGTTATTATTAAATGTCAATAGAATGAACATTTAAAGATAATTAATAAGAAATCACTCGATATAAAATATATAATATCATTTACTATATTTTAAATATATTTGTTTATTAATCATTTTTTAAACGAGCAGGCTAATGAGCTAAGTCCAGGTCATGATTGGCCTGAGCTTAGCTTGTTAGCTCATCGAGCTCAGTTCATAAGCCACTTATCAAATCGAGTCAACTTGGCTCACTTACACCCATAATCAAGTCTAACAAGTGTAGAGATATCACATGCATGTTGTGTTCTAAACATGCAGATAAATTGATTTTGATAAATAATATTCAATTTTATTTAGACTTATATTAATAATTATTGGTGAAGTTTATACAATAACAACAACAACAAGTCTTTATCCCACTAAGTGAGGTCGGCTATATGAATCCTTTTTCTCCATTGTGTCCTGAAGAGTATCATATTTTCATTTAATTTTAATAGATTAAGATCATTTTTTATACGATATACCCAAAATTTTTTAGGTCCACCTCTGGCTTTCATAACATAAGTCAAATCTAAAACATCTACTCTCCTAACTTGATTATTATATGCTCGATATTTAATGTGACCAAACAATATAAGACAACTCACTCTAATCTTGTTCGCCAATGGAGCTACACCAACATTATCATGAATATATTCATTACACATTTGTCTCTAAGTTTTAAGCCATTCAACCACCAAAGCATTCTTATCATGAAAATTTATTTTATGCTTCTCTTTTGAAGGCAAACATTCTGCGCCAGAGAGCATTACAAGTCTCATCATCATCTTACAAAATTTTCCTAGAATGATACTGCCATTCTCCCCAAACCAGAGCTGTGGCTTCCATAGCTATTAGTCACCAGAATCATTGAAAGAAGTGGAGACCTGCAATTTAAGCATTTTTATCCATTGTATGCAACAATTATGGCAGTCTTTATTCACTTGGTAAATCAATTGTTGATTAGATGACAGAATTGCTACATGGGAGGATAATATATTGTTAATTTATACATGCAGGAACAGATAATTAACAAATTACTACAAAAGCCAATCTAACACACCAACCAGCCATCAAATAGTCAGGATAAACTTTAAAAGAATGTTTACGTACAACCACTCAATTTTTATAACCAGTCAATAGTCTAACAACTAATCTTTAGTTTTTACAAAGCATACCACCATGCCTATGAAGAAAAGATGTAGTATTTCACTTTTTAAAAGATTTGGGTGGTATATATGTAAAATTAATGTATAAATACATGCATAGGAATTAGGTGGTATGTAAGTAAATGCCACCATTTAAAAAATACAAAAGCAGCTTAAAGTATAAAGAAAAAAAAAGCTAGAAAGAGCTTCATCAGAGTTAACGAAGCTATAGAAAAGACTCTTAATTTCTTACACCCGAAATCCCTGTGTATTCACATAGCATTAGCAACGGAGCTATCAAAATCGCAATGTTTTATCCTCAGAAAAATTTTAGGAGAAAGAATAAGAAAATACCTTAGCCTTTAACTGAACAAAGAATTCACATCTTACTCCAGACCTTAAATGTGCTGATTCGTTCAAACGGTTTCCACCATTTTGCTAGAAAAGGATCCTGAATGCTGTCATGAGCAGTTTCATCCAAAAGCTTCCCGTTCCAAAACAAACCACTGGCAGCGAACCCCATTAACTCGGTCGGGTTCATGTAACCACGAACTCTAGAAACAATGCCTCCTCCGTAGACATGGGAGAAACTCATCTCAACGGTTTTAGCTGAGTTAGGCTCCTGCCGCTGCTCTTGATCATTTTTTGGCCGACGGACGAAAAATTCTTTGGTGATCGGAGCTTTTTCATCTGATTGCATAACATCAATGCATCCCAATCCACTCGCTGCCAGAGTGCATTCCACCCTGAGCTTTATGTGTGAAGTAATACCGCAAATCAATGGTATGTTCTGAAGCCAGTTTGTCTGCTAGGATTTTGAGCTCCCTTAGCCTATGGCTAATCTTTGAAGAAACTGGATCATATAAAATACCCCTAGAGACCTCTTCCGTATCATCAACAATCATGTCTTCTAGCTGTATTGGATCACCAACAACCACCGTTACCTGCAGGTAAATATAGTATAGAGCAATCTGGTGTGCAGTTTCATTAACATTACAAGAAACCTAATAACAAAAGGTTCTGGTGATCGTATGCTAAAATCAGAAGTAAAAGATGAACATTGATTACCTTTTTGCCAACCTTGGGGAAGTTTGAACCTATAGGCATGATTTCTTGCCTGCCTGAATGCACAAATGGGATGACTATAGGAATTTTATCAGCATCCATAACCAGCCTGTAATAAAAGCAATATTAGCATGAAATGGAAGAAAAATAATAATAAAGAATGAAAACAGGAAGCTATGGCCACTGATGTGAAATTGCTAATCTGGCCTTTGGTTTGCAACTGGATTTATGACAGCGCGGTGGAACTGGTATGGCTTAGGGGGTAGTTTATTCTAGTTTTGTGGCAAGCATTGCAGCTCACTGACAGTGTAGCTATGTTCAAATGCTGAGCTTTTATTTCTTCTAATTTTTAATTATTAAAAAGGGACTTTGTAATTATAAAAGGAGCATCAAAGGCAACTTTAAAAAACACAAGTTTTTCCAAATAAATACCAAGTTAGATGGGCAATTCTTTCCAACTCTCGTCCTGCTTAGCAGCCCAAACATTTTCTGGAGAGGTATCTTGGAATGCTCGACTTCGTGACTTCTATTCCACTGACTAATCCTTGCAAATTGTTTGTGCATTTTACTATTTGTATTTCTACTATTGCATGCTTTCGAATAAATTGGATAATCAGTATAATTTCAGATTTCAACCCATTTTTTCTAATGAACGACTATTAAATTGGGTTTCTTCAAACTTTTAGGTTGTGTTTGGGGGGGATTATTCACTGCGTATTTGCGTGATAGATATCTGCTTCGAGGACATTCAGCAAATCCTTGAACAAATACTTCCTATAATCCGAGAGTATCTCCAGAAATCCATATTCAGCTACCAAACAGGGATACAGACTATCGTCCCCTTCCTTCAAAAAGACTAAGTTATGAGTTTCGAAAACCCTAAGTTCACCCTTTCTCAACCTATCGGAGTCGCTTGCTCTTATTGCCGTTGGATTTCAAGGAAGAGAGCCCGCAAAGGGTTGCCGGAGGAAATGGTTGTGGAGTTGTGTCACGTGCTTCAAGAATCCAACCAAGGGGGTGTTTGACAGCACATTTTAAAAAGAATTTAATCATTAATTTAATTTAAATCAAGCCAAACACAAAAAATAAATAATAAAAAAACAACTCTTAAATCAAATTTATTCTCTTTTTGTCTTTTGTACAGTTGTTCCAAATTTGAAAAATCCCACAGAGAGGCAGATTTAACGGATTTACGTTGTTGTTGCTTCTGATCTTCACTCTTGATAAATCCTACTTAACGTAAATTCGATCGCCAAACAATCCTTAAAAAAACACATACAAAGTAGAGACAAAAAATGAAAGAATCTAGAAATAAACATTTAAAAAGGAAAAATAAGGGGAATAAAAATAGAGAGAATGCTCGACATAACCCGACAATAGTGCAATAACCGCCATCCAAGACACTAGGAAACATTATAGCATACACAGTAGAGCTCACAAGATATGGTTTTAATGGTTGAAACATAATATATGTTTCCATCCACTTAAGAACATGTCCATATAATAGAAAAATAGATGATAGAATTAATCACAAGAGATAGTTGAAATCAATTATATATACAGAGCACATCATAGCTCAACCACCCACCCACATACCTACTCAGCCGGGCGAGCACAAATTGCAACTAAAAAGTCTGTCAAATATCAACCAACAAATAACATAAAACAACAAAAAGTTGGATTTGAGAAAAGAAGGAACAAAACAATAATCTAGTCAAGCAACAGTCACAATGAAAAGACGAAATATAATAAAGTGAAATCTTGTTCCTCTACCAAATAACACAACACCAATACCACCTGATATCATGAGTACAAAAGCAACCAACAACCATCCAAAAAATATGGAAAAATACAAAGCTATATACACATATGTTGCCAACAACCATCTAAAAAGAATTGAATTAAGAAAAAACAAGCTCAGACTAACCTAGATCGCAAATTGAGACTACATCCAGTTTAAAAGGAACAACAAAATATTATATTAGCTTAAAGATAAAAAAAACCTAATAAAAATATAAATGAATCTTAAGAGCAAAAGATAAAAAGATTCCCTCCAGGAATAAGAAAAAGGTGTGGACAACAAACATACAGAGCATAATTTAAAAAAAAAATGCTAGAGTCTCAAATTGAAGTATGGGCACATCAAAACCCAGACAACAAACAGAGACTCAATCTAGATTTTTAAAGGAACAAACAAGTAATCAATTAAAAAACTCCCTACTAGTAAAAGAAAATAAGTTACATATAAAAGAATAAGTACATAACAAAAATACAAATAATAATTCCCAAAAAAAAACGTTGTTAAGAATAAGTACATCACTAGGGGTATGTAATTTATTCAAAATTCTAAAGTTTCTTTCAACCTAAATACGAATAGCAATAGCTTGCATCGCAATTAGGAAAAAAATTATAAACTTTATAATTGATGGAATCAACATGATAAATAACCTGAAACACTTTGTTACCCGATATAAAGAATCCACCATTATGAATACATTTTTTCAAGAGATAACGAGAAAAAGAATACTAAAAAAATAAATGATAGTGAGACTCTAAATCAATAGACAAAAATATAAATAATATTAACATGAATGCATCTAGCATTCAAAATATCATTTGCCTTGAGAACCTCTTGAATAATCCCTTTACACCAAAAAGCTTATTCCAAAACCAATGAGTTTTGTCGAGGAACATGAAGAGGATGAGCAGGATGATAATGAGGACGAATATTAGGATTTTAATTATGTGTTTGATGATGTTCCCCCGATAGAAGAGCTGATTATATGTTTCTATCATCTCTGTTTAATCGAACTTTCAACTTCTATGGTTGTGAACATTAAACTCTTTGATCGTTTTATTATTAATTTAATTTAGTATCATTATTTAGATATATTAGAGCTTTCTTTTATCAGTTCTGATAATATATAAATATTTTATTATGTTGTTTGTGTTTGTTCTGTGCAGATATGTGGAAATCTAATTGTCATCTTCTTCTTTTTTTTGTTACAAGTTTGCGTTGAATTAACGATGGACTATTTCGACGCTAAGTGTTGCAATAATCTCTTCGAAAAAGAACGATGTGAATTCGTCGCAGTTGCGTCCGACATAATTGAGACTAATTAGCTTCAAGCATAGTCAATGCGAATTAGCGTCGGCCATGTCCAACACTTATTATCGTCGGAGGGTTCAACGCTAATAGATCGTGAATTTTACGCCATCTGTTTTTCTAGCTTAAATTTATAGTGACAAAAATTTTCGACGCAAATAAGGAAGTAAACAAAAATCCATCGCAAATGCCGACGCAAAGTGAATTGGCTACGCCTGTTTTAACGTCGGAATTTTTTCCACACTAATCCAAAGCTAATTGGACATTTTCCTGTAGTGATGCCTAAACTCTATTTTTTACATTTATACCACCCAAATAACTCATATCACATCTAAACCATTACTATTACAAAAAAATTTCAATTTACATAAATGTCACACGATTTTATTTATTTACATACCTAACTTCCAAACTCTATTTTTTTTAACATTTATACCACCAAAATCATCTGTATCATATAAAATATCACTATTTGTAAAAAATGAAATATAAGTTTTCATGCATAAATAAAATAACATGTTAAAATTGAATTTTACGAGTTTGACATTTAAGGAATTTAGTGTTACACAAATCTTATCTATTATCATTTTTTAAATATATTTATGGTTTATTAGGTCATTCGGTTGAACCCCGGTTGAAACCTGGTTCAATTTTTTAAACTTGAACCTCTCCTACTACCAGTTCAATGTACGGTGCAATTTTCAAAACTTTGACAAAAATTAATAAAATTTGGTTTTGATACATTCTAGTAAATTCAGTTTGCTCTATTTTTTTGTGCATGACATGGAATGCATAACAATATAAACAAAAACTAAGTCATTAAAAATATTTCCAAAACAAAAAACTTTCAATTTATGCACAAATACAGTTATACAATTTTTTTTACTTATTTTTATTAAATTAAACCCACCTATCGAAATAGTTGTATCCATTCGTTTCAATGACAGTTTAGCTCACTTGTACGAGGGCAGCTATCGGAAAAGACCATCATTACTAGTAAAGATTTATCAATCTATTAATAAAAGCATCGCCCACCATGTAGGTCCTCATCTTCTTACACAAACAACGGAAATAAGCCTTGTACAGACACCACCAAACATTCACATTGCAGCCTTTTCATCAACAAATCAAAGGGGAAAAAAAGAAGATTGAGAAAAAACTCTCTGACTTTTCGCTTTTTAAAGAAAATTCCTCTCTTTCTTGCTCAAAAGAAAAAAAATAATTTCCAAGATTCATTCTCAAAACTTAATCATCTCTCTCTCTCTCTCTCTCTCTCTCTCTCACACACACACTCATTTTTTTCTCTGGGACAGGATCTTCACCAGATGACCCACCTCTCAAAAAGATCCAAATTCAATGAACAAAAAAAGAGAAAAAAATCAAATCAAAGCAAGAACAAACAATGCAATTAGAAAACCAGAGCAATATGATTCAGGTGTCATGCCTTATGAAGTGTACACAGAAACCTCTGCATACAAGTTCCTGCCTTACAAGGGAGAATTTGAACTTCAGAGAAGGTCGAGATGAGCCAATATACTTCATGCAAGCAATGAAAATTCTATCTTAAACGTGATAGTAGAAAACCACGTCCAAGTAAAAGCTATAATGGAAAAATAATATATCCAACTGTAGTGTTTGATCAAACGACAAAAACAGATCCCAGTTGACCAAAACCCACATGCATCATGGCAATGTCCCAAATTTCTTGTTATGAAAACCCTACCTGGATCAATCTTGAAAACCTGTTTGACGCCCTTTAGAGTCCTCCCAAACCATTCCAGCATAGAAAAGCTAATCATCGGCGATTTTATGGAACAAACCCTAGGCACAATCTCATGTGGCGACATGATATCCTCTTAGACAACATCCGCGTGCCCCCTTACATCCCAATCAAGCACCGCCGATTCTTTACTTGGCATAAGAGGCATCACTGGAACATTCATCAGTGCAGATTGGTGATACATATTTCCTCCCCTCAATAAAAGAACGCAGTCCAGCTTCGGCTTCGAGATCGCCGGAATCTCCCGAGCAGAGGAGTAGGAGAAACAGACTGAGATATACGAGGACAAATTTCGATGGAGAAGCGGATAATTGTTAACTTCTTCTTCGGGAAGAGCTGCCAAAATGTCGAGGTTCCGTTTATTGAATCGGCGAGAGCCAAACCGAGAGAGCGAGGGTCCGGGGCTAGGGTTTTGTTTGGGGGTTGCGAATGAAGATAGAGGATTAGGGGTCGGTGATTTGGTTCGGGAAAGTGAGAATCCGTTGAGAAGATCTCTTCCTCCTGAAGGTCACGAACTCCGACAACGCCTGCAGATGCAGCGTCGGGGGCGCTGCAAGTGGCTTCCGACTTGGAGAATCGAATGGGGAGTGGGGATGTTTGAGGGGTGAATGAATCCATTAACGTTCTGTGTCACAGCTGCTGTGGTAGAATTGGGCGAGCAGGTTTGTGCTCTCCGGCGACATTCGCATGGAGACAGCTGTAATCTGGTATAAAAAGGAAATGAGTAAGTGCAGTGGCTTTGTCATCTTATACTTTATTCCGTCCTGCTTTGTGTTGTTGTAGTGGAAAAAATTGATCTAAGTTCTATATCTTTTATATTTAAGTATCTAAGTTCTAAATTTTAATATTTATATTTATAATACATTATTTTATTTTAAAAAATTAATAAACGTTATCTTTCTAATATAATCTTAAAAATTTGAATGTTATGTATATACATATGGAAATTTAAATGTTATATATGTGAGTATATGATAAAAGTGTGGGATTTATGTAAATATGTCTACTTTTTTAAAATAATTGTATCATTGTTAGAAAATTTGTGACGGTAGAGTGATAATTAACATTATAGCACTGCACTAAAATCTAGCACACACAAATAATAGAAAAATTGCAGGAGAAAACACCAGAAATTTTATGGGAAAAACTTGGAAAATAAAAAAATCACGAAGCACTTATTGGCATTTATTATAAATTTACAGTAGTAGTGTAGCTATAATAGTCGCAATTAAGCTACAACAAATGTAGCTAATCGTGGCGACTATAATTGAAAATTGTAATAATAGTATTTAATCACAAATGTCGTAATTAGTAATTGCAATAATGTCAGTTAGTCAAATATGTCATAATTAAAATACACAATATTAGGTCACATCGACCATGGTTGGGAGCTATAATGACTTTAGTTGGTCACAAATCACAATAGATGTAATTGGAAATTGAAGTAGTTGTTAGCCACATAAACCATAGTTAATGGCTACAATAGTGTCAGTTGGTCACAGAGACTGTACTTGAATGTAATTATAACTAGTCACATAGGTCGTAGTTAGGGGCTAAAATAACGTCAGTTGGTCACAAAGACTGTAAGTGAATGTTGTAGTAACAGTTAGTTATATTGGGCGTAGTTAGAGGTTGTAATAATATCAGTTGATCATAGAGGTACCAATTGAAATTTGTAGTAATAGTTGATCATACATTGATGCTAGATTTTAACTTATTAAAACCTCTATTTGAAGAACTTTATTATTGGTTTAGTTCTACTAAATTTTTAAAAGACTTATAAAAAAAATTCTTGTATCGTAAGTTTTCAAATAAAAAATTGCATACCATTGCCAGGAGTATTTCTACTATGCCTAAGAATCGACGGGTTTGGTTTACCCATCTTGATATTATAAATATGATGTGCAAAGTTAAAATTATATGGAGGTATTATAATTATACTAAAATTTGTGAAGTTATTTCTAATGGAAGTTGGAATTTTATTCATGTTATTAGTATCCCTGGGTACTTTTCTCAGCTTATTAATAGCATATCGATTGTAGATTCTCATATATCTTGACTTTGGCTTTGTTTAGATGACTTTGTTCATAAAAGATTTGATCTTTTTGCTATATGATAATTTTTGTAAAGTTGAATGGAATAATTATATCTGGTTGAAATGCCATTCAAGTTAATTTATATTTACCATCTGGAAAATTATTCATTAACTTAAAACAAGTGATATTCCTATTGCTGAAGGTATTTCTGCTAATTGTAATTGTCATGCTCTATGTTTAGAGAAACTCGTAAGCATTAATTTTTTGACTACGCACAAAAATCGAGTCATTTTGTATGAAGGATATTCCTAACTCAAATTTAAGATCATTCAAGCTTGATTTCAGCAAGCTTAAAGTCAAACTAGCCGTCTCAACAATATCAACACAGTAATATCAAAATTTGTTCAATCTGAGTCAATCAAGCCCAGATCAAGCCATCAAAACATATTGGACGCTTTGGATCATCAACTAAATGGTCGAAGAAACTCAAAATTTGAGATATATTTATTGTCAAATCGAGTGCCTTGACCCAAAAAAATTAAAAAGAATATAAGATTGCAAAATTATTAGGTCATTAATGCACTCAAATAACTAAAAAATCGTTTATAATCGAGTGAGATTGGCGGGGACAATTTGATCAAGTGGTGTGGGAAGCTATGCGTCAAAAAAACAAAATTCTCTTTCCTAAAAGGCTATAAATAAACTCCTTCTCTTCAATTGAGAAGATGAGAAAAAGAATAAATGAGATTCTAGAGTCTATTATAGAGAAGACCCGATGAGGCCACAGTTGTCGCCGACCGCCGATTATCAAGGCTCGTGCATGACCACTATCAACCAGTGCAGATCATCACTACCTGTCGTCGTTGACAACCGGGCACCACGCTGACAACCAGGCACCACCGACACTTGCTTGCAACTTTTTAGTCAAAATACAGTTATTTTGTGTAATAACTATATTTTACTTTTGTTGTACATAAATGTAATTTTTGTGATAAAAATTGTCACCCCGATCTTCTTGTTGCAAGAGAAGGGAGCACCCAAGCACTCATAGTGAAAAAGTTTGATTGAGCTGAACCACATAGTTTTTTCTCTTCTATAATTTTTCTACGTAAAAATTCTAGTATCTTTAGTATTGTTGCTTCTCTTTTATTTATGTGTGTTGTATCATCGCACAATGCTAAGACATTAAAATACCACTCCATCGTCGTGAATTTTATTTTTGTCTTGCATTTTTGTACAATGCTAAGACATTAAAATAATACTACTTCGCAGCAAATTTATTGATACTCAAGAAAAACATATTTTGAAAATTGATGAAATTGATCAAACTCTTTGTTCGGTTGCTTAGAAATAGAAAATATGTTTAGAAAAAATGATAATTATATTTTCTATTGTTTTGGAGCGTGTAAATGAAATCATGATTTATGTTGGGAAATTTACATGCATATCGCACCGTTCCTATCAATTTACATATCCACATCTAAAATTTGATATTTAGAAACATCACACTTTGGTTAATAACGAATGCATGAAAATTTTTATTTTAAAAAATTAGTAATAGTACTTTTTTTTGATATTATCTTAAAAAAATTGAGTGTTGCCGATATAAATACATAAGTTATGTGTTAGACATGAAAAATCAGAAGAATTGTGCGACATGCATGCAAATGCCTCTCATTATTTTTAGAATAATAAGAGAAATTTCGTGAGAATTTTAAATCAATATTAGTGTCCAACTATTTTCAACCAACAGCTAGATTTAAAAAACTATATCACTTCTAAATTCATGATTTTTAACTTTGAAGCTAATACAATTACATTTTAAATTTCAGAAGAACTAACGAAATTTGAATATAAACAGAAAAAAAAACTACAATATGTTCCAACAGAGAAAAAAAAACTAATAACTAACTTCTATGCATAATGAATGCACATATATGCTAAATCATTCAGGGCTTGATCTCCAGTCTAGGCTCAAAGCAGAAACCAACGAAGGTTCTTAAATATGATCGTTTCTTTATTGGGTAGTTTTTTGCCAATCTCCAATACTTGTCTCTCATATCAAATATGAACAGAGTAGGGGTACCATAGGCATGGATGAATATGAGATCCTCAACTCCACTACTAGCAAAAGTATCTTCAAACCTGCCAAAATGGCTGAGAAACTTCTCTGGCATCCTTGTAACCTCCTTCCATTCCTTTCTATGAAGCTCCCAAACACAAATTCCTTCCAACACATCTGGCTTTTCTGGGTCTCTGATTCCTCCAATTAGAATCAATCGATCTTTAAGATTCATCAGGCGACAACAAGTGAGGAGACTCGGTGCCATAACCATTGTTTCCATCAATGACTTGCATGAAGATTTTGAATCAATATCATACATGATGAGCCCAATACGGTGCCTGTTGCTCTCTGATAAAGAGTGAATCAGAAAGTAAAGGATTCCATTGCATATCACACTTTCATTACCTCCTCTCCATCCAACCAAAACTTCATTGAATGATACAACTCTCCAAAAGCAACTCTTAGAATCATAAATCTGAATGGTAAAGTCCCAATGAAAGAACTCATCTGGCAATGGATTGGATTTCACCAATGTAACTATATAATCATGAGAATGTCTGTCCACTGACAAAGCCAATGCACTGTATTGTGAAGGTTCATCATTTAGAGGTTTCAGAAGCTGCTTCCAATCTCTTGAAATTGGGTTGCAAAGAAAAATTCTGTTTTGATTATAGTAATCCATGCAGGAAACCAATCCGCATGATGACGAGATAAACCAGTTATAATTTTCATGTGAGAGGAAATCAAACCTGCACCAGTTCTTGAAGAGATCATAAATGTAGCCTGCATCGTTCTCGTTGGGCAACATGAAGTACCATGGCTTTTGGGGTGGCATGTTGATCCATACATACTTTCCGGACTTTGTCATCTCATGCCAATACTTGCACACACATCTTGCACTCATTATACTGTCTATTGGCAGAAAGGAGAAAATCTTTAGCCATACATCGTCAGGAAGAATGGTATATATGCCTTCACTTTTGACTTTGTTTTCTTTCACAAAAGCTTCGACGCCAGGCTCTTCAATTCTAACACCGTCCATGCTCTGCTATTATAATCCTATTAAGAGCGACACAAGTGAAATAAACATGAGTGTTTTGGTATAAGACAAACTCAACCATCCACAAAAAAATGAGATGAAAATTCATATTAAAAAAATGTTGTCATGGACCCAAAATTTATTTCCAAAACTATCACATGTGTTATTTTCTTAAACTATTAAACTCGTATATTAATGTGTTCTGGTAAAAAACATTAAAATTTTGATAGAAATAACATGTCTTTATCATAAATTTTGATGTTTGAATGAGAATTTGGTATTAGAATGAAATATGGTGGTAATTTTGTAAAGAGCAATGTTTCAAGTGTTGTATGTGTAGTTGCCCCACATCCATATCCACTATATTAATATTGAGAGCTCGATTTAATTATATCCTAATTAAAGCATTTGAATATAACCGCCTCATTTCCATTTATGAATAAAAGAAAACACAACTAAATACACATTGATATTAAAACAAATAAATTCACATTTTTTTTCTGTTATTATTATTATTTTCAATGTATATATTATTAATATATTAGATGTTATTATTATTATTATCTCATTTACGTGAATCAGGTGGTATGCATGTAAATCCTCATTTTCTTTTCTGTTTAAAGGGAATCGGTGGTATGTATCTATATCTCTCTCCATCTCTTTGTTTCGCGTGTACATTCGCAAAGAAGAAAAAAATTTGTGGAGGAGCTTACATGAACGGAGGTTCGTCGGAGGGACGGAGGTTCGCCGGAGAAAAGCTCGCCGGAGGCAGGCTTGCCAGCGGGACTAGGACTCGACGTAGGGAGAAACAAAGGAGGAAGGAGGAGGGCTCGGTTGAAGTTGGTTGAAGGTGAGGAGGAGTTGCCGTGAGGTGAGGCCTGTTTGGGGGGGTGGGGTTGGGATGCTTTTATAGGGGAAGGAGAGGGAGACGTGAGTTCGTGGCAGAAAATGAAAAGAGAAAATATCGGGGAGAGAGGGAGGAGGAAGCGTGGGTAGAGAATAGGATTAGAAATTTTTTTTTTTTAAAATAGGTGGTAGAATAGGATTTTTTTATTTTTATTTTATATATTTATATATATATTAAGCTGCATGTCGCATGGGTAAATAGAATTTAATAACTTTAAAATAACTTGGTAAAAATGAAATTAATATACCTTGTGGTGATAACAAAAAACTTAATTGATGATTTGATACACATTCTAAGTATATTCTTGCATCATTCATTGTTTCCTTCTAACTATAATATATATATATATATATATATATATGTCGAATCCACATGCACACATTATATTTTGAGTTGATCTTTATGTTTTCCTTGATATGAAATTTGATCATCTTTAGATACGTGTGCAGTAATATGTGCTTCATCAACAACAAGTGCTTCATTAATAACTTCTATATAATCATATTCATTAAACTTATGGTTGATCTTTATGTTTTCCTTGATATGAAATTTGATCATCTTTAGATACGCGTGCAGTAACATGTGCTTCATCAACAACAAGTGCTTCATCAATAACTTCTATACAATCATATTGATTAAACTTATATAAATTAACAATCATAATTCAAAACAAATGAAATT